AATTTAGCATTTAAAATAATTCTGATAACTCAGAAGTTGAGTTTCAACCCTACCATTAATAATTCTGAGGTTATCTTACGCTGAAGACACAGAATACCAAAATTCAGGTATAGAATACAAATTCTTAAGTTATAAATAGATCAAAAATTACATCAATTATCATTACCTCAAGACCAGTCATTTCCCACTCTAAAAAAAGAGAGAAGAAAACTTTGGAAATCTGAATGATACGCACAGCCTTTTGAACAAATATAAATTAGAACACTGATACTACACCAGTCATGGCGTGCAGCGTTAGGTTTGCTCAGGACGGGAACCGGGGACGTATGAACAGGATGGAACGCAGTTAACGGAAAACTCAGACAGTGACCATAAGGCCTGTGAAACAACAGCCGCAGGAGCCAGGGGAGTCCGGAGGGTGTAAATCTAACTCTGACCACAGACAGCTGCGTAGACACAGGGGTCCCAGAAACCAGTTGTTTGAAAAGAATTTATTACAGTGGCTGTTCTGGCCCAGTTGCTTACACCCCCTGGAAGAACCCTCTGTAAAACCCGAGGCTCTCGCCTTCCTCGGGGTGGATGCTCTTTTTGGCCTCCACCCATCTGCACCCAGATGCTCAAATAAATAGCACTTTGCTACACCTGAGGCTTCGTGTGTCTCCCTCTTGGCTCCGGACCCAATGTTCAGGAAGAAGAAAATATGCCAAATAGTACTTCATGTAAATCTACAAATAAGCTATAAAGCACTAAAAGATTGCTAATACAAAAGATTAAGATAATAAAGTTCTAGGCATAATAAGCTGCTTAGAAGAATTAAAAAGTATAGCAAATTAGCAGGGCACAGTGGCTCACACCTGTAATCCTGGCACTTTGGGAGGCCAAGGTGGGAGGATCACTTGAGGTCATGAGTTTGAGACCAAACTGGGCACCACAGCAAGACCCAGAATTCCCTAGAATGACATAAAATCTGAAATAGGATATTTAACATTGTTCTGAGTCTCACATTTTATTATCTTTTATATCAATCTTAAATTAGAAAATATGCCCTCATTTATTCTAAGAAAGACCTTTTATAAAGCAAAGTTTTTCCTTCTTTCTAACAGAGGCAATTTA